TATTTGCTATGAATAAGTCATTGATTGTCCAAAATTCGATCATTCTCTCTCCAGCTCCATTTCTGTCACCGAGTCCATGTTTTCCAACTACTGAATCTTTTAAAAAAACAAAACTCAGTCTAAATTATGAAAAAGGGTTTCTAAACAAAGATATTCCATTCTTTTGTTCAAAAAATTATAACTTGTTGTTCTTGTTGTTATGTGCCATTAAGTCACTTGCAATACATAGTGGCTCTATGTATAACAGCTCTGAACCCTGCTCTATCCTAAGCCAAACTTACCACCTCTGACACACCAAACCCGATTATCCTAGTCACTGAGTCAATCCATCTCATTCATCTCTCTTACCCTGTCCCTCCAACCTCCCAAGCATGATGTCCCTCTCCAAGTACTAGTACGTCTTGAAACATGCCCAAAGTATGTCAGACAAAGCCTCAGCATCCTTGCCTCCAAGGAGCAGCCAGGTTTCATCCCCTCCAGGAAGAACCTGTTTTTGTCTCCTAGCAGTCCATGATATATTCAATACTCTTCTCCAGCACCACAGCTCAAAGGCATCAATTGTCCTTCTATTATGCCTAGTCACTGTCCAGCTTTCTGATGCATAACAAATATGGCCTGGATCAGGTGCACCTTAGTCTCTAGACTGATATTGTTATTCTTCAGTACTCTGGAGAGGTCCCTGAGATTTTCCCAATGCAATTTGTCTTTTGATTTCCTGGATGCTGCTACCAAGACTAATGATTGTGGAGCCAAGCAAATTGAGTAATAATAGTTCCTAAAACCATTTAGACTTTATAAACAATAAAATTGTTCTCACTTCCCAAATGAGCCAAAGGAAAGAGCAACACTGATGGACGCACAGTACTAACCATGATGAAGGGTCAACAAAATATAACAGGAATTTTTATTCTGCTTTGTTGCTTGTTATTTTTAAGAATCATTCTTAGGAAAATGTCGTGTATGTTTCTTAACACCTGAAAGCAATTCTATTAGAGCCATTGTTCAGTAGTTTATATAGTTAAGTTTCAGAGACCAGGCAGCCATTAAGTGAAAATTAGCATTATGTAAATATTTGAATTACTAACTATATCATTACATAACTGCCAAACTGAATCACCAAATACCTGGCAAGTTACAACATTAAAAAACTACCCAATCACTGAAAATCATGCCCTAGTCAAACTAACATATAATTTGAGTCATCACACTCAGGTTGACTCACATTTCACAGCACTTACTGCTGTCAGATTTGTTTCACCAATGCACACACCAGTTTGATAGCTGATCTTTTTACTTATTGCTATAAATGTGAAATGTTAATAGATAATAGGCTAGTTGATAAGTGAGATGGTTAAATTTTCATTAATTAACCAAGCTAGTCAAAGTAAACAAAGATTTCAACATGGAAGGATGATATGAACAAAGATTTTTATAAGGAAACAGATTCTTTTATGCATCAAACCATTAAACTATTAAAAAAAGCCAATAATTCTACAGGTTAAACAGTATCTTAGAGCCATTAAAAATTTTCATGTATATAAAAAAAAAATTTTCATGTATAAAATCATCTATTACAAGTCACAATATCTGTTTCTTGCATCTCACATGCAGTTAACTGTGATTCTCTATAATATCTTATCCACTATCATAAAGTTAGGGGGTTCTGGTGGCCTAGTGGTAAGAAGCTGCACTACAATCCCAAACGCACGCATTTAGAGTCCACCAGCTGATCTGTGGGAGAAGGATAGGTAATCTCCCCCCATGCGATTAAGTGCCTCTGAAAAACTACTAAGGTCAGCTAAGGGTTGGTTTGGATCTAATGAACACAATAACAACCATAAAGCTTACAGTAAATAAATAAATGCCAAATTCTTTACTGCTATGACATTTTTAAAATTTTTGGGGGAAAAAATAAGGTTGAAACTAAAGTGGTTCCATTTTGTTTACCTTCTGACTAAATACCTCTGTGTTCCTGGAAAGATTAATTAATTTGATTAATGCCCCTAGATATCATCTTATGACGCACCCCCTTAAGATAAAATAGGGAGTGCTAAAATAATGGAAAATGGTCCTAAACCCTTCAAATGACTATGACTCCCCATCACCAGTCAATGCAGAATGGACAAAAACCCTCAGGGACTTTATTCATACAAAGGCTAGTGTTGCTTATGGAATTTGTAGTGAGTTTGGACCTCTGCATTATTTTAGTCCAATAAATCAAAATAGTCATCTTAATAAATCTCAATGTTTCTGAAAAGGCCAAAGAGATTGTGTTTTTCACACATAATATTTAAAGCATCGCATATTCCAAATATGTCCATGTTTGTTTCTCAATAAAGATTAGGGCGTATTAGCTCACTAACTTTTGGACCACAACTGACACAAATCCAGATGTTCTCCTCAAATAATGGCTTCCAACAAAAGAACTGCAAGAAAATCATAAAAATCACCTAGCCAAGAAATATTAAATTCATTCATGCTTATGTAGTCTTTGTAATTCAGCCCAAGCAACCAAGTCTTTCCTCAACACCATCACTAAATTATAAGTGTTTTAGTATGAAGCAGCTATGTATGATCTAGGTATAAGCCCAGCAGAAAAAGCTGTTAAGCCCTGATTCTAAAGTCCTACACCCAATACATCTTAAAAGCAGAGTAACCTCTAAAAAGTTTATGGTCTGCTTCATTTACATTTATATTCCCTACCAATCTGGATCTACTGTGTAACTATCCTGAATATTCTGGTCTCTGATACAATGAGGACATGAAGTTGTTAACCATATCAAAAGGTATAAGCAGCAAATCCAACTCTTATCTAAGAAACCAAAAAATCAAATGTATAAATACCCCTTTTTTATACCTGGATATAAACAGTATAACTAGTATAAATCTTGCTGCAAAATGAAGCCTTCAAAGGTTTCAGGATTAGCTGGCACCTGTCTTTTCCAACTCTTTACTTTTCATTTTCCGTTTTCACAGTACAATGGAACTAAACCTTTCCTGACTTTTAGAAACCGAAAGTTTACTGTTTCACCCCATCTAGAACATAAGTCTGCTGTTAGGGACCTCTCCAAAGTACTGAAGAGCAATGGTGTCTCTCTGGAGACTAAGGTGCATCTGATACAGGCTATGGTCTTCGCAATC